TTTTTACTAAAACCCCTTTTGACTCCATATTTTTGGAAGTAATATAAATTCTATACACAACTAGCTGACCCAGCGAACTTCGTACCGCCATAAAAATTGGGTTTGATGGTAAAAGGGTGAAAATTAAGGGTGGACCCATGTATTTTTAAATGCCAAATAATAATAAAAAATGTCCCAAAAAATAAAAAAATAATGTTAGGGGTGGACAACACTTAACACTTAGGGGTATGAAAAATAGATAGTAGCCGATTCTCAGACTCACTGAATATGCATATAAAATTTCATAAAAATCGGTCAAGCCGTTTCGGAGGAGTATGGTAACTAACATTGTGACACGAGAATTTTAAAAATAAGATTATGCAGTACTCAGATTCCATTACAATACCAACAACAAAATGATACCTCATAATTATCGTTAAGGAGTCATGAAGACCACTATATCAGTCATTCATCATTATAATATTCAAACGATTCATCAGACATTGCTTCCTGACAGACGACCAGGCGGTCGAATGGATAGATATAGTTGATTGTATTGCGGTTCTTCATTATAAGATTCTTTGTGTGCGGAACGGAAGAGAAATGACCTCTTCGAACAATATTGATACGGCAGGCGGAAACCTGAACAAAGCAAATGAATATGTATGTCGCCGCAATCTCATCGCACCATTCTGTCCCCACCTTAGATTGCAGTACAAATCAGGGGTAGAGGAGTGGGCAGCTTGGGAAATGTATTTTCCTTTTGTTGTCCAATAAAGGTATTGTACTATTATAACTATATAGTAATATAAGTTATTTACGGGATTGTTACCATGTACCTTGTTTTTAGCGAGTTTCCGATATTTCGGCACTGTTGCAAGCGCCATGATCACGGAGTAACTGAAGTAATTGCGCGTAGAAGAATGTGAACAGTGGTACGGGTATCGAACGCAATAAAAGACTTCGTCGGAGGGTAGACCGATATGTCTGCCAATAACAGCCTACCCGCAATTACTTCAGTTACTCCGTGATCATGGCGCTTGCAACAGTGCCGAAATATCGGAAACTCGCTAAAAACAAGGTACATGGTAACAATCCCGTAAATAACTTATATTACTATAATGTTAGTGACCATGTAAGTTTAAAACAATATATTATTATAACTATAGTTATGTCGTTAAGGCGCAGGGTTGCCAGGACTCCGGATTTTACAGGAGATCTCCTGTTTTTCTGAAATGTCTTCTATTCTTCTGTTTCTCAACATGGATCTACTGTTTCGATAATATCTTTGATTATTTACGCACTAGATAGAGCGTGGTAGTGCGGATGACGTTGAAAAAAGTATCTCCCACCTGGTGGGGTCTAAGTCGTTTCCGGTCACTTATTATTCAATGAAACGCTGACCGATACGCATGACAGCTACCGAGTTTCGTGTTGAAATTATTTCTAAAAATACCGAGTAGCGCGAACAAATTTAGCATCAAGCAGTTACATGCTTAAACAATAAAAATTATATCTATAATTTCTATCTCTTCTTTCAAATGTTTAATACTTGTAAAAGTATTCATTTGACATTGTGGGTTACCTTTAATGCGAAGAGATGACGCTGCCTTGCAACTTAAGAATGGCTAGAAGAATTTCGATGCGGCCGTCAGGGCCGTGGTAGTATAATTGGTCAGTGCATTTGCCCAGATAGCGAAGAGTGCGGGTTCAAGTCCCGTCTGCTGCCTTTCTTTTTTTCTAGTTATGTTTTCTTTAGATTTAAACATCAAGCAGTTACACGCTTAAAAAATAAAAATTATATCTACTGTTTTTCTTAAATTGGGTGTTGTTAAAACATATTAACAAGGTTACCTACATTGTATTAAAAATGTGGGTAACCTTTTAAATATGTTTTTCTAACAAAAACGAACAAGCTTTGAGGGGCGGCAGAAGCCATAGAAACGCATTCGTTACTGGCCTATATTTTGATTTCCTTTACCAATTCTAGGGCAGGGGGAGGTGTGCAAATTTAAAAAAATATGCCCCTGCATTTACTGTTACTTGCAGCTCTTTCCATACATCTACTATTTTTGAAGTTATACTTCTTTAGGCGCGTTATGAAAAAATGATGAGAGTGAAATTTTAAGATGCGCGCGCATCACTGTAACACAAAAATTAACAGCATGAAGTTGGTCGCTTTAACGACCAACTTCATGCTGTTACTTTTGTGTTTACCGCACATTAAGAAAATCTACCAACAAAATAGAAATAGAATCTCTATTTAGTGGGTGCTAACGACTGCATTGTGAAGGCCTATCAAAAGTATTTATTAATCTGGAGCGCGATTCAGGAGACTACAGCGTCATCTCTTGACCATTGGTGTAGTAGAACCAAAAACCACATCTTTATTTTTTGTAATAAAGTAACAGTTATAGGTATTCATATTTATAATATCAAAAGTATTTATTAATCTGGAACAACGGAACCAAAGCGCGATTCAGGAGACTACAGCGCCATCTCTTGACCATTGGTGTAGTAGAACCAAAAACCACATCTTTATTTTTTGTAATAAAGTAACAGTTATAGGTATTCATATTTATAATATTTATCCACATGTTTCTAGTTTGTATATTCGGAATACGTGTTTGAGTTTCATACAAGTGCAAATCACATATGTTCTAATAAATTATATTCAGTAGCAATTTTAATTGAATATTTTGATTATTTATTTATTTTTTCAAATTAAAACTGAACTTTATTGACTGTGTCCTTTTCCAGACTTTTTATTAATTTATTGTAATTAATTATTTGCATGCAATTAAAAACTAATTTTAAACGATGTCAAAGAAGGATAACTTCTCACGCGCCTACATAAGTACACGCACCCTTTTTTTTCTGTAACGCCTCCCGATTTTTTTAAATCGGACTTGGAAACACGGGAAAGGTGGCATTACAAGGTGAATTACTGCAGCTGCCAGCAAAAGAGACTTTGACCGACGAATGTGTAAATCTGGGCATAGACGAAGCCAAAGATATTATAATGCGATTCAACTAAGAATAGGATCGACAGGGCGCCATATTCTGACGTCATAGCTGTCAATTCCAACCAAATATGTAGAGTGAGCAAAAAAATGTTGCTATTTAATGAAACTTATTTACTAAGATTAAGTGAGACAAAACATCAGATTTTTTAATAAAATTAATTTACTTAGGTTGAGAAAGAACAAATCGATTTTTAATAGTATTTCTTTATTAAGACTGTGTGCAAAAAAAAACATTAATAAGAATCTAGCTCTTCAATTTCGCTCAACTCTGCATTACCGCCGGAGAAGTTATGAATAATCATGCAGGTCACATACGAACATGCATCCTATATGTAAACGAAAGTTTTAAATCGAGTTTTTGAACGCAACATAAAGTGACATTTGGTTGACAATTTAGGTTATCAACCATTCATAGCCAAAGAAAAAGCAACTAACATTAATTATCAACATTTGTTATTATTTGTTTAAAAATGTTTGGTTTATATTCTAGAATCAGCTGGGTGCTAAAAAAGTGTTCCGAGTTTTTTTTTTTTGCAAACCGTACTTTTCAGGCGACATTTGACAGAGGGAGGTCATTGGCTTTCCTATTCTTATTTGAATCGCATTATATATTCCATGTATGATACAAAATTTCAACCAATATTTTAATAAAGTGTCGAGTTTGTCTTTAACATTGCTTTTGTGTCAGTCTTATAACGGGTTGGTTATCTCTACAACAATATCAACGCTGCTACGATTTGCATAATTATTATTTGCATATAATTGTCTTAGCTGCCTATGCTCAGGTAACGACGTCCATTTCCCTATTTTATCAATAGTATTCTAAGTGAGGAACTCGACGGGGCAGGTGGTTAGCGCGTTCGGCTGCGATCGTTGAAGTTAAGCAACTTTCGCAGTGGTCGATCATTGGATCATCATCATCATCATCAGCCTATTAATGTCCCCACTGCTGGGGCACAGGCCTTCCCTATGGATGGATCCCCATGACCCACCACGCGGGCCCAGTGCGGATTGGTGGGTGCTAACGACTGCAGATGCAGCCGGGACCAACGGCTTAACGTGCCTTCCGAAGCACGGAGGAGCTCGAGATAGTAATTTTTGGTCACCCATCCAATGACCGACCACTGCGAAAGTTGCTTAAATTCAACGATCGCAGCCGAACGCGCTAACCACTTGCGCCATCGAGCTCCTCAGATCATTGGATGGGATGACCGAAAATCTTCCATCTCAAGTTCCTAAGTGCTTCGGAAGGCACATTAAGCCGTTGGTCCCGGCTGCATCTGCTGTCGTTAGTACCCACCAATCCGCATTAAGCCCGCGTGGTAGGTCATGGTCCAATCTCTCTATTCCATCCATAGGCAAGGCCTGTGCCCCAGCAGTGGGGTCATTAATAGGCTGATGATAAAGAGCCTATATGCTATAGTGGCCGCTTTCCAACAGGCGGGTCATATGTTTATTTGCCTCCCTTTATTAATATAAAAAAACAGTGATAAAAGGAATAACTTACCTACCATACCGTACCAGACATACATCATCTTTCTTTTTCGCAATTCCTACATGTCGCACAAACTATGCACAAAACTCAGTTGTTTTTCGAACGCAAAGTACATACAATAAAGGTTTCACGGCTGTTGACATATTTGCTTGCAGAAGTAAAGCATCTTTTAAAAAACAACTTTTAGATCTGTTGGTTGATTGGTAATATACAAACAAAAATGAAACACACATGTATACATATATACTCACAAACACACACACACACACACACACACACACACACACACATATATATACAATAGCGCGCGCGCATTGCACACATCTCGCCCTTGTTTGGTAGAGGGTTTTCTAAACTATTATGCTATAACTAAAAAATGAAAATCCGTAATTGGCATTAAGATAAACTGTATTGTAAAACCTGTATTATATTAAGAAAATGCTGTGGATTTTGGTCTAGAATTAAATAAATAAAAATAAAATAAATAAATAAACTTCTAGTGTCCATACGAGGGAAGTGGAAAGCAGATGTCCAGCCGCTGATATCCGGAGGAGCGGCGCACGGAAGACGCTACATCTTCCACTCGATGACGCTGCACTGGCCCTCGGAGCATTCCGTGGGGGGCTTCCAATACCCCATGGAGAGTCAGGTGCTGCACATCTCTGCGGAGTATGACACCATGGAGCAGGCTGTTAACGCGTCGGCTAGAGACCCTCTCGCGTTCCTCATCGTGGCTAACATTTACAGGGTGAGTAATCTGCCCTTCTAGCATGAGCACCACGATATACAGGTCGTTGGTTTTTATCAAGCCCAATTGTCAATTTGACAGTTAGACGCGATAAAAAACGTGATATAATGTATACAATAATAATAATAATAATTTAAAGACAAATAAAAAAATACTTATTTTTTTTTAAGCTGCAATTTTAAATTCATGTAGCATTGTCAGAAAGTTTTTGCAAATGGATGAAAACGAAATAGGTTCTCATCACAATAGTACAACATAACTTAACACAACACATGCTGCACTTACTTGGTTTCGGCCTGTAATTGTAGTAAAAACCAGCCAAAGAGCTGAGAAGAAAAACACTTAACAAATAATCATTTTATTTCAATAAGTTGTTACATCATGGACACATTAATTAATCAAATACTACAAGTTTTTAAACAATCTTAGATACATAAGAGAGATAATAAAAGGTGTATTTTATTTTTTTATTTTGACTAAACGTGACAATACTGTAGCATTGACTGTGGGTCCCACACTAGGAGAAACCTGTATCGTGGGCACCCTAATATAATAAATAGGATGGCGTCACATTAATAATTTATATGTAATTATTATTTGTAACAAAACAAACGTAATGAAATCAATTATAAATACTGAATTAAAATCAATATTGTATGTATGTGTATGTGTGTTTGCGTGCGTGTGTGTGTTGGTGTGTGCGTACGTGCGTATGTGTGCATGTGTGTGTGCATATGTGTGTGTGTGTGTGTTAGAGTGTGTGTTTATGTGGAGAAGAACAGATATAGTTTGGGATAGGAATGTATCGATGAGATGTTGGTCTTATTTTGTGTGCTTAATAAGGTCCTCTGTTTGAAGGTAGGTCATGCACTTCAGCCTTTTAGTGAGCATGCGTTTGGCTTGTTTCAATGTAGCTGTTTTTATGTCGCACAGTTTTGCCATTTTATTATACACATACGGGAGCATGTGACTAGGAAAGCTTTGTATACATCCCCTCTATCATTACCACCGAAAAGGGATATGATAAAGCGATATATCGGCATTAATGTTCGAAAACTATACGTTTCTAATGTTATTTTGCGTAAGCGCATATCCTGCACTTATAATCCCGAGTTAGCTTTAAATACTAGATTAGCTAACAGAATCTTCAGGATTGAAAACTGCACAACGATGCTGGCTAGACGGCATTCATCATCATCATCATCATCATCAGCCTATTAATGTCCCCACTGTTGGGGCACAGGCCTTCCCTATAGATGGAATAGGGAGATTGGGCCATGACCCACCACGCGGGCCCAGTGCGGATTGGTGGGTGCTAACGACTGCAGATGCAGCCGGGACCAACGGCTTAACGTGCCTTCCGAAGCACGGAGGAGCTCGAGATAGTAATTTATGGTCACCCATCCAATGACCGACCACTGCGAAAGTTGCTTAAGTTCAACGATCGCAGCCGAACGCGCTAACCACTTGCGCCATCGAGCTCCTCAGACGACGGCAGAGAGAGAGATGGCATTATTTGTACCTTAGTTCAGTTTTGTACAATAAAATTAATTATAAATTACATATTTACAGTTTACCATACATATCGTGAATGTAAAAGTGTTTTAAATGAGTGGCTACTTAGCCTTCGATATGAAGATATGGAATCTCTTATACAGTAAAATAATAAATAAAAAATTATGTAAACCTACAAAATACAAAGAGAGATACACACACACACATACACACACACAACCATACATACATACACATACACTCACACACAGTCACAAACACATACGCAAAAACGTTTTTATAAATGTTAAAGAGGAGCTCGATGGCGCCAGTGGTTAGCGCGTTCCGCTGCGATCGTTGAATTTAAGCAACTTTCGCAGTGGTCGGTCATTGGATGGGTGACCGAAAATTTACTATATCGAGCTCCTCCGTGCTTCGGAAGGCACGTTAAGCCGTTGGTCCCGGCTGCATCTGCAGTCGTTAGCACCCACCAACCCGCACTGGGCCCGCGTGGTGGGTCATGGCCCAATCTCCCTATTCCATCCATAGGGAAGGCCTGTGCCCCAGCAGTGGGGACATTAATAGGCTGATGATGATGATGATGATGAAATGTTAAAGTTAGTATTTTTAGTGTTTATTGTTACTAGTTATCATGTTCGAGGTGGGGCGCTAATAACTGCGACACAGTCTCTGACTAATGTAGTTATTAACGTTTTACATTATTCTGTACAAACTATTTAATTGCAAATAAAGATTTTTATTATTATTTTTTATTATATTATATTATTATTAATTGTCAGACTACAGTGTAGTGGAGAGATCGATCTGAGTGGCGTGAATTGGGAGAGGCCTATGTCCAGCAGTGGACTAAGATGGGTTGTTGATGATGATGATGATGATAGTGGAGTTCCGTCCCGTCATGCTGGAGAGTCTGCACTTCGTCGTATCGTACTTATAAAATAGACGCGAAAGTTTGTGTGGACATTCTGTTTGGGGGTAATGCCTCATACAAGCTCGTGTACCAATTATGGTATACGATGTTATGACCGTAAAGCGTGTTCATAGAATAAACTCAAATTATTGGAAATTACTAAATACATCAATCTATATCTATCTATATATATATAAAACTCAAAGGTGACTGACTGACATAGTGATCTATCAACGCACAGCCCAAACCACTGGACAGATCGGGCTGAAATTTGGCATGCAGGTAGATGTTATGACGCAGGCATCCGCTAAGAAAGGATTTTGATCAATTCTACTCCCAAGGGGATAAAATAGGGAATGAAAGTTTGTATGAAACTTTGTCGATTTTAAACCGATCGGTATAAGAAGAATCATAGATGAATGTCATTGTGTATAATACAAGCCTGAGAACAAAAACTGTAATCTACACTTCAGCTCTACACCGAAGCGAAGCGAGGGCGGGCCGCTAGTTTATTATAAATTACTCAGTACATCTTCGTCATTTCCGCTCAGCTCTCCTTTTATCTAAAGAAGTCAAAGACCTAAGTGAGTATCTTCCTTAACTCATCAATCTTTCCTTAATTCCTCTTTTATAACGAGTATAATTTATGAGGAGCTCGATGGCGCAGGTGGTTAGCGCGTTCGGCTGCGATGATTGAAGTTAAGCAACTTTCGCAGTGGTCGGTCATTGGATGGGTGACCAAAAACTTCTATCTCGAGCTCCTCCATGCTTCGGAAGGCACGTTAAGCCGTTGGTCCCAGCTGCATCTGCAGTCGTTAGCACCCGTCAATCCGCACTGGGCCCGCGTGGCGGGTCATGGCCCAATCTCCCTATTCCATCCATAGGGAAGGCCTGTGCCCCAGCAGTTGGGACATTAATAGGCTGATGATGATGATAATTTATGATATTTAACTTTTTTCGTTATTCCAGGCAGTTAATCAGAGATTATTTCTATTATATATATCGACCCTTCCAGGATGAAACGTAGTAAAAGCCAAAACGATATTTTTCAATACGGCCAAAAAACAAAAACGGTGAAGTTTGTTTCCCGTATATTTGTTGATTTGCTTAATTTATAATAAACTGCTATAACTCATTAAGCTTAGGTTTTCGGGTTGCTTACTAATAAGAAACTCGGAATAGCCTACATTCATTAGTTCCAGAGATGGCATGGCTTTTACTACAAAAAAACAAGTTGTAAATGGTTTCTACGACATTTTATTTCTGCTTGGCAAATGTAATCTTTTTTCCTTGAAGTTGTATAAGACTTCATAAATTGTTTCATTAAAGGGATTTTTGAATTAAAAGACAATTGTAATAAGAATAAAGTTTAATTTAGTGAAGTAAATGCAACTAAGTGCGCGGCCTATTGCCCACCGCACCGCTCCCCGTCTGCTGCGGAAGGACTGCGCAGTTCCCCTCGCAGGCCCTTCCGCGGCCCTCTCATGTAGGTTAGGTACAAAAGATAGCTGACGCCAAAGAATCCATCGGTGGCTGGCACGGCTAACGCCATGCCGGGCAGCAAGTGATTCAATTAGATAGGGTCACTGCACGTGCGCAGCCAGGGCACACCTTCGCCTTCCTGTGCCTGTTCTTTTGCGGTGGCAGGGGACGGCCAGAGGATTGTCCTCTTGTCCCATCTCGGCCTCCTCCTACTTGGAGATGACGTCATCACAGAGCGAGGCGACTCCTTCCAAGCCGTCTCACTACTGTGCATAGCCTCGACATGCTCGGCAGCGAGAGAGAGAACCTACTGTCCTAGGTAAACATTCAACACGACACTGCTATTGAAAACACGAATTTTGGGGCCCACAACTAAAGCCAACAAGCCGTATTTACGTCTAAGTAACGTCCAGAGCTTCGTTTACATAGAATATTGGTTTCTTCTATCAACTTACATCCTTTATTTTTTCACTCCTTGTAATAAAAATAACTGTGATTAATCGAAGCCTTTTCCGAAGTCCCTAGTATGTCTACATCAAAATTGTTAGTAGTATCGTGTCTTTTACTACAAATTTTTCAATAGTATTATTTTCCAGTACTGTATTTTATATATTGTATTGACCGTGGAATGAGAAAATATGTCTCTTACTACATAAATTTGAAAAAAGTATTTTCAAAATTGCTCATTATGACATTTTACAAGAAGAAAAATGGGTTTAGGGCATTAATTGGAGCGTGTTCTAAAAGACATTTTTTCGCGAATTTGAACATTTTAAATATACAGATCGATAGAGCTCGCGATTCTGATAAAGAAACCGTTAAAAACAGATTTTGGGTAAAATGGCTTTTACGACGTTTCATCCTGGAAGGGTCGATATTAGTTCTTTATTTAGACCATAAGCGTGCTTTTGACAGGAGCCTGTAAATTGGGCTTATAATGTAATAACTTTTATATATTTAATATAAGTTAATGAGAAATTGGAGGTCAATGTTCGCTTTGGACCTTTTAGTTTTCCATCATGCTGACGATGACCACGTGCTGTCCAAAGACACTTAGTTTCAATGACTGTATCTTAAAGCTCTCTTTAGTTTTAGCAATTTAGTTTGAGCGGGCAAGCTTATATTGTTTAGTAAGTTTTTGAGTCAAATGTAGAAGTCACTGAACTCTTTGATTTAAAGAAATATAACTAGAAAAAATTCCACGCGGACCAGGCAGCAGACGGGACTCGAACCCGCACCCTTCGCAATCCGGGCGAATGCATTGACCAATTATGCTACCGTGGCTCTGACGGCCGCGTCGAAATTCTTCTAGCTATTCTTAAGCTGCAAAGCAGCGCCATTTCTTCGCATTGTAGGTAAGCCACAATGTCAAATGAATACTTTTACAAGTATTAAACATTTGAAAGAAGAAATAGCAATTACGGTTATAATTTAAATTTTTTAAGCATGTAACTGCTTGATGTTTAAATCTAAAGAAAAATGCAACTAGAAAAAAATCCACGCGGACCAGGCAGCAGACGGGACTCGAACCCGCACCCTTCGCAATCCGGGCGAATGCACTGACCAATTATGCTACCGCGGCCCTGACGGCTGTAGTTATATTTTCTTTAGATTTAAACATCAAGCAGTTACATGCTTAAAAAATTAAAATTATAATCTTTGATGTAATTTAAGAAAAGCAATGATTAAATACGAACAGTGGTTATGAAATATTCAAGATGTGTTTTTTTTAATGTTGTGCATTTATAAATATTGATATTCTATTAAAATAGTGTACTTACCCCGAAGAACATACACTTTTTGCAGCTATTATAACATCAAATGTATATACATAATGATAACCAGGAAACTAATTTTTAATCAGTTTACATATATTTCTTAAGCACTCAATGAAAAAAAAACATTAGGGGGAAATTTAAAAAAAACAGACATGTGCTGATCGCATGCGATAGAAGTGAAACCTACAAAAATGTGAACACGCAAAATTCCTTCATGATATACTGTAAAATACTGGATAAAATTTAATATTCTATGCCTCCATAATTAAATTGTTTAGAAATATAAATATATATATATAAAACTCAAAGGTGACTGACTGACATAGTGATCTATCAACGCACAGCCCAAACCACTGGACGGATCGGGCTGAAATTTGGCATGCAGGTAGATGTTATGACGTAGGCATCCGCAAAGAAAGGATTTCGATCAATTCTACCCCCAAGGGGATAAAATAGGGAATGAAAGTTTGTATGAAACTTTCTCAATTTTAAACCGATCGGGCAGAGACTTTGCATGCAGGTATAAGAAGAATCATAGATGAATATCATTGTGTATAATACAAGCCTGAGAACAAAAACTGTAGTCTACACTTCAGCTCTACACCGAAGCGAAGCGAGGGCGGGCCGCTAATAATCTATAATTTAAAAATGAATCGCTGAATGAGTTGCTAAGCGCTAATCTCGAGAACAACCGAACCGATTTCGATAATTCTTTTTTTTTTAATATTCCTTGAAGTACAAAGATGGTTCTTGCGCAGAGAATATTAAAAAAAATTGCCTGGAAGAGTCCAAAAACAACACTTTTCTATACTCCCATACAAACGATTCGTAATAATACTTAAAAGTCAATTTGAACTTTAATATAATACCATAAATTTCAATTGTTAGTGGAGAGGTTTTGGGAACGCAAAACATTTTGAGTGACGTGATATCAATAGCAGTTTGAAAAAGGCAAATATAACGTTTTAGTCTACACTACAGCTCTACACCGAAGCGAAGCGAGGGCGGGCCACTAGGATCTTAAAAAAAGAAAAAAAAAATTAAAAATAACCTAGCTCAGGATCGAACCACCGAACATTTAATGTCGAACCCAAGACAGTTTACCGTTAGACTATCAGTCTCTTGCAGAGAGTTACTAAATTACAGATACCTTGTGTCAAATACTGTTAAATTTTCGTTTCACCGAGTTTCAAATCATAACGGTGCTAAAGAACTTTTCACTTCAAAAAATATATTTGTAAATGTAAACAAAGGAGATTGCTCAAATTGGCCCAAATGCACAAAAATATTGACATATACGGTAATTCTTGGCGTAATTTCTACTTTATTTTACAGTCACTGGATTTTAACGGACACCTTTGTATAATATATTCATTTTAAAAAGGACTTTTTAAAGCTCTTAGATTTGGTTAACGAGAGTTTAAAAATTCTCTCTAATCTGTGGCTTATTCACAATCATCATTTATGTCACAGAGTACCTTCCTCAATATAACCGGAACTGTATATATGATACCTGATTTTAAAAGTTACTCTTGTCCATTAACCTTAAAAACAGGCAACTATCTGTTAATCTATATACCTGAATCTAATATATAATTTCGGTACTTGGCTTAATTTCCCTAGTTTACTATATAAGTTATTTGTTTTTGATTATTTTAATACCTATGTACCTATTTGCAAACATAACCTCAAAATCGTTCAGTGTATATGGTTTATAGAAGTTCTCAGGGGTGTCCGTCAATAATATTCGTTTCTACAGTTTTTTATATATAATCTCGAATCTAGGAATCAATTTTTCATGATTATTGGTTTTTAGGCCAAACATGTATGGAAGCTGAGAAATCTCCTTTAGCACCCTAAGAAGCATTATATTATCGCATTGATGTATCGAGATTATCCGGTGTTTATTCAGATTATCTGAAATTGAATGAATGACACATCCAATTCCTCGCCATGGTCTAATCCATGGCGGAATTTGTGCAAAATATTTCAGCTCTTACAAATACGCAAGGATTATTAGAAATAAAAGGAAGTACGCATTCGTTTTTCTATATAAACATTATCATCAACCAAAAATAAATAAAATAAACAAATAATGTTGGTAGCGTATAGACGTTTGCTGACGTGAATAGAGAGATTGGGCCATAACCCACCACGCGGCCTAGTGCGGATTGATGAGTGCTAACGACTGCATATGCAGCCGGGACCAACGGTTTAACGTGCCTTCCGAAGCACGGAGGAGCTCGAGATAGTTGGTTTGGTCACCCATCCAATGACCGACCACTGTGAAAGTTGCTTAACTTCAACGATCACAGCAGAACGCGCTAACCACTTGGGCCATTGAGCTTATCAATTTACCTTGCATACATTATATCAACGCCTTTGATGTTGTGGGAATGCCGACGCATATACTATGTGCTTGCTCAATCTATTATTAAGCTCATGAATATGTTAATAATATATGTTGTACTACATATAAACGGTAACTAGATTAATTAATAGGCATAGCTGTTGTAGCCTGACTATCTTTCTTGATCCACGCTGTCCAGGCAGCAGAGGGGACTCAAACCTACACACTCCGCTATCCGGAATGCACTGACCAATTGTGCTACCGCGACCCTAATGACCGTGTCGAATTTCTACTAGTATTTCGTAGCCTGCAAGGCAAAACATTTGTCAAACGAAATACATTTACAAGTATTAAACATTTGAAAAAGATATGGCAATTGTAGATTTTTATATTTATTTTTAATCATTCAACTAAAATAAAAATTTTCTTTACATTTAACGACGACCTTAGAGGCCGAGTAGTTTGTACGCCGGGTTTCGAGGTGTCGCCTACTCGAGAGGTCCCGGGTTCAAATCCGGGTGGGGGCAGAAGTCTGTGTGATGAATACGAGCATTTGTACTCCATTCATGGATATTAAATATGAATTTCTATATAAATATATCATATATGTATCAGTATATGTATATATTCTATCCGCTACCCTAGTATCCCATAACACAAGCCTACAGCGCTTACTTTGGGACTAGGTTATACTCATAAACATTTCTCTATTTTCTACATTAAAAAGCATAAATTTTATATAATAGTCAGTGCATTCGCCCGGATTGCGAAGGATGCGGGTTCGAGTCCCGTCCGCTGCTTGGTCCGCGTGGATTTTTTCTAGTAAACTTTTCTTTAGATTTAAACATCTAGCAGTTAAATGCTTAAAAATAAATAAAATCATAGCATAAATATTTCTGCAGTTCGACAGTCGCACTCAAGAAGGATTAAGCGATCTGCTAGATGCCGCCGGAAGTATCAAGAACACGTGTCAGCGTATTCCAGCCAAACCTCTGGAGTATTACAGCCCTCCGTTGAAACAATATGCTTGCTATCAGGGCTCACTGACCACTCCGCCTTGCACGGAGGCCGTCCTGTGGCTAGTCAGAGCGAAGGCTATGACTGTGACAAGGGTACGACCATAAATTATTATACACATATAGTTTTTAACATTCATGGTCACTATCATCATCATCATCATCAGCCTGTTAAGGTCCCCACTGCTGGGGCACAGGCCTTCCCTATGGATGGAATAGGGAGATGGGGACATGTCCCACCACGCAGGCCTAGTGCCACGGTAATAATATCATACAGTATTCTATCTTCATACAAACGGTCGGAAAGCGAGTCATACCTACACCACTCGAGTTCGATGTGCTCTCGGCGGGCACCCAGTCGCGAATGCGCCGCCGCGCCGCAACGACGACCGAACGGTCTGAATTGTTTTTTATGCAGTTAGCCGTGCTTAAACGTGCGTTTTGTATTGTAAATATTTGATTTAATTAAGTAGATACCTACATAATTTAGTATGGAAAAGAACAAACGACGATCAACATCGTACAACAGCACAATTGCTGTTTTTGGTTGCTTGAACTCTTCAATAACACACCCAGAGATATCATTTTTTAAATTACCTGAAATATTGGAAAGGTGTCTTACCTTTATAGAATATTTTTTTATATACCTATCTACTAGTACGTTATTTGTTTCTAATATTTAGGTATTTCGGTTTTTCCATCGGGCAAAATATCTGGAATAATATATAAATAAGTGGTTAGGATGAAAAAAGAGACAAACGAGTAATCTACCTACACTCGCCTTAAAAACAAAACTACATAAAATACTGTAGGCTAACGGCCCTACCGCGTGCCAACGCAGCGCTCGGTCGTAGGCAATTATTTTCAAGGACAGGGCGAAGTCACAATACTGTATAGATAATATTACCGTGCTAGTGCGGATTGGTGGGTTCTAACGACTGCAGATGCAGCCGGGACCAACGGCTTAACGTGCCTTCCGAAGCACAGAAGAGCTCGAAATAGTCAATTTTTGGTCACCCATCCAATGACCGACCACTGCGAAAGTTGCTTAACTTTAAAGATCGTAGCCGAACGCGCTAACCACTTGCGCCATCGAGCTCCTCAAGGTCACTAACATTCTTGTAATCAGACGGATTGTTACCATGTTTCTTGTTATGCGAGTATATCGTAAGTGTTGCTAGTGCCACAATCACGTCTTGCCAATTGTTCTCAGTGTAAGACAACCCACGCAGTATATTGTTTTAAACTTTCATGATGTCACTAACATTATAGTAATATAAGTTATTTACGGGATTGTTACCATGTACCTTGTTTTTAGCGAGTTTCCGATATTTCGGCACTGTTGCAAGCGCCATGATCACGGAGTAACTGAATTAATTGCGGGTAGGCTGTTATTGGCAGACATATCGGTCTACCCTCCGACGAAGTCTTTTATTGCGTTCGAAACAAAAAAAGTGAATTAATTTACATATGCACTATTCGAAATTAAGAGTAGCACAAACGTAGATACTGCTCTAGCAGCATACTACGCATATGCATACTCCTGGCTTAAATATGGAGTCATGCTTTGGGGCAACAGCGTTAATGCAGGGCAGGTATTTATACTCCAAAAGAAATGTGTGCGAATCCTTGCTCAAATTAACAATATGCAGAGTTGCAGACCTTACTTTATACAATACCAACTACTAACTTTACCATCGATTTACATACTGGATAATTGCTTGTTTATTTTTAAACATCGCAATAAGTTTATCCGTGTTGAAGACACACATAATATTAGCACTCGCAACAAAAACAGGCTGTATATACCTCCTTCACGCATAAAGATGCTAAACACCAGCCCCTATCATATGGCTATAAAAATATTAAATAAATTACCATCACAAATACGGGATGAACAGGAACTCCCTATATTTCACAAAAAATTAAAAAAATATTTAACCGATGAATGCTTCTATTCTATCGAAGAATACTTTAATAAATTTAATTAATTTGTATTTTTTTTTCAATTGTTTTTGTTTTGTTAAATTATGTTATAATGATGGTATCACCCAAACCGAATTAAATATGTTACAATTTTATAATATCATAATAATAATATATGTTTAATTATATATTATTTGTTATACCTGTACAAGGTGACTAAGTCATAAGATGCTATGTATTATGTTTAAGAACTTATGTAACACTTAGTTTGCAAATAAAGAGTTTGAGTTTGAGTTTGAAACCCGTACCACTGTTCACATTCTCACTATTCACTCGAAACTGTTCTCGACACACAACACTTACAGTATCGGATCGCGACACGACACTTTTTTGATTATTTCCGGTTTTACACATACGAACCACAGGATTCCAAACACTAAAAACAAGGTACATAGTAAAAATCCCGTAAATAACTTGTACAAATCCCAAAAGTCTTTGAAAGGTGCAAGGATGATAAAATAAACCACCGTTCAAATTCAAAGGAATAAATGTATTCAAAAAGAAACCTTATTTTCTAAGCCTTATATAATCAGCAAAAAATCTCAACATCGCCATTCAGACTTCACACTATACAAACTGATGGCGCCATCTAGTAACAGTTGACAACAACACTTTCACCTTATCTATCAATTTTAAAACAACTCTGCATATTTTTTGTATATATTTTTTTTATACCATCAGAAAGTAGAGATTTCAACAAACAAAAAACACCCCAACTTTTTTAAAAAAGCAGATATTTTGACGTGAGAATTTTCGATTGAAAATTAGGGTGCTTTTTGGATATTAAGTCAAAATAAGGTGAAAAAATGAATATTTTAAATCAAAAAAATTACTGTATGTTTGGGACATACAAAGGTAAGTTTTCACCAAATTTCGTGAAAAAAAAAATTTTTTTTTCCAAAAAATAATAATCAAAAACCAAAAACTCGGTTATTCGCATTTTTCACATAAATTTTGAGGTTATGTGAAAAAAGTGTCGATACAAAAGTTCTAGATCTTTTAATTACCTACAACTTAGCCGTTTAACTTTTTTTCATAGGACTTGCAGTTTTACCGGAAATCGAGATTAACCATTTTTTACCCTTAAAAGCTCACCCCCTCCCTTCCCGACCTCAGATCGCCCGTAATTTATTTTTCCTTTCATTTTTGTTATATTCTCTACCTTTTCTAATGGGTTTCATCCTACTATAATTTTTTTTCACTTTTCACCATTTTTAAAATTACCGACCCTGGTCTAATGGGGATTTATCGGCGTAAACATAACGTATATTACTATAAAACCTACGCAGTAGACTCGCTAACCAATAGCTTAGGTTACTAAGATTTAGTAGAACTTTTTACAGAAGTCTAGACTGAATAAATGAATACGAATTTGTCAAATGGGTGAATATCCCGGCTTCTACATTCCTCCTTTCCCTTTGTAAACTTATCCATTTTACGAATCTCTCGTTCGGATTTATTTAGCACTATAAAAAGGCGCATGCAGTAAAGAATATAAGCAACAGGTCGTGTAAATGTGATCGTATGTTTAGAAATACAATGGATTCCCTCGGGAATGTAAACTACACACGGGCATGTTTCACAATCTATATATTATCCCAGGCTCTGGATAAAAAATGAGGGTGACGAGAATGTAAGGCTTAGGCGGTCACGGGAAAAAACCCGATGGGTCATAGCGCACAGAAGGATTATAAAAAGTTGGGGCATGTAACAAAATACTGTAGAATTACATTTTTTTCATTATGTTATGACCTGACTAGCTGGACCTTTTATGCTTTCATATAAATTATCATTATCTTTTTCACCTATTAAACTCGCCACAAAAGGTTCAGGAGGCCTACTCTATTTCAACGAAAAATTCGAAAATTCGTTCGTCCGAAATATTTTGACAATTAAATTCTCCAAGCCTACTCTAATTCACAAAACTTTCGAAGGCAAAGTTGAATTTGACAGATAATTGTTCGAAATTTTAACCTCAAATCGACGAAATGAAAAGTGTTACCTTTTCATTTTCGTTTTGAGATTTTTGTTTTAATTAAGCCTAAAATACTTGCAAGAGTATTTTTAATAATAGCTGCTTAGCTCGAGAAACATTTTTAGCATGTAAAATTAACAAATAAACCATTTTATTATTATTTTTTGTAATTTCGATACTTCAAAGTATTAAACGACAAATTGAGGTTGACATACAGTAGATTGTGTCGACTCTACAAATTTGTCGGCTAACACTGACAAAGAAGATTCTTTCAATGTCATCAAAAAATTTGCCGTAAACTACCTATATTGTTTCCAAGTAAAAAAACGTTTTCGTCTCTACTTTTAAGAGATAAAAAGAACTCAAAAACATGACTCATTCCATTCGTTCACGAAAACTGTTTATGGTTCCGAAGTTAATGTGCTGTTCGAAAATGAAATAGAGTAGAGACACTGGCGAAATTTCGTTTGAAATTCGTTCGTGACCGAAATTTCGTTTCGGAGAAAGAGAGTAGAGCTCCTGTTCCCTTAGTACGAACCAATGTCGAATTCGAATAGGTTGCGAGTCCGAAATGTCATTGTCAAATTTTGTATGAAAACTTAAACAGCAGCGCCATAACGTAAGTAACGAGAACTAAAAATCAGTACACATTTGACAATGACATTTCGGACTATTTGAATTCGATAATGGTTCGTGTTAAGGATATAGATGTTGTTCAACAATTTATTACAACAGACTGCATGCGGGCAATTAAAATAATTATGTAGTGTTCTTCTTGTGCTACTTGTTCTTAATAAAAAAGTAATTTTTTTTTCTTTTTCTAAATTTAAAGAAAATTTTACAAAAAAAAAACTGTCCGGATTGCGAATCCCGTTTGATGGCTGGATCGCGTGGAAGTTTTTCTAGTAAAATTTTCTTTAGATTTATAAATCTAGCTTACTTATTTAAATACTAACAATAAGAAACTTCTAAATAAATTGAGTTGAATATTAAGTTGTTAATATCCTATAACAATTAGGCATCTTATTTCTCTAGGTATTAAGAAGAATAGAAAGTTTGGAATAATTCTAAAACTTCTTTATTACGGGGCTCTCGTAATCTCCTAGCAGAAATAAAACCCTCAATCTCGTAGTTATTTGAATAGTGGAGGGTAGAACAGATTCTCGACACGAGAGGAGTAATCACAGAAATACTGTAAAAAGTAATTATTTAATTTTAACTATTACGACAGCTTTCAATAAAAAGATATCTGAAAACTTTCAACTCAATTGGAGTTTAAAACACCTTTTAAATAAAACTAGTTTTTACGGGTTAATGCACGAAACTTTATTTATTTATTGACGTTTCGTAGCCTTTACAGGCTTCGTCGTCAGAATCCACAAGTCAATTTTCTGACGACGAAGCCTGTAAAGGCTACGAAACGTCAATAAATAAATAAAGTTTCGTGCATTAACCCGTAAAAACTAGTTTTATTTAATGAGTGATGTGCGTGAAAACCTAAGAAACAAATACCTTTTAAATATCAAACTAAAACTCGGTTATGTTGATTAGAGTATAAGAGAAAATTTTGTAGCCGTCAAGTTTTTCCAAAAATAAATGGATAGATTTGTTCCAGAGTCGAGTCGAACAAGCTGAAAAGCTATTGGATGAGCAGTCACCGATGCCTTTCCGTGGAGTCCAGCCAATGAACGACAGAAAAACTTACCTCTTCAAAAACTGATTTATTTTCAGTAACTACCTATCGATTTGGTGGAACATTGTCATTGGGTGCGGCCAGAGTGCACTCAGATTCAGATTCTGAAAACAAGCGCGAGAAATAAACAGTGTAGTCTAAGCAAGTTGCCTGCTTTTTCTCGCGCTTTGTTTTCTGAGTCTGAATCTGAATCTGAATCAGGAGTGCACTCTGGCCGTACCCTTCGACTACACTGTTTATTTCTCGCGCTTGTTTTCAGAATCTGAATCTGAATCTGAGTGCACTCTGGCCGCACCCATTGATTGCTCTTAAATAGTTCAGCTATTACCTGCGATCCTTAGATTAAATTATATTGATGCATGTTGTAATTTCTAGGCCTATATTAAACGCATTTAGTTAGCCCTACAATATTTTTTACCACTTACGACAAAACTGTGGAATATATGTCACCAACAGTGTTTTTGAAAACCTTCAAATAAAATTTGTATTCCTACTTTAAAAAAGGTGAGGTCCCGGGTTCGGATCCCGGTAGGGGCAAATGTTAGTATGATGAATTCGAGCATTTGTAGCCAATTCTAGTTTTTTTTTATAAACACCATTCAGCGTAGTCCCAAAGTAAGCACTGTAAGGCTTGTGTTATGGGATACTAGGGTAACGGATAGAATACATAATATACTGTACATGTTTAAGTATATTTATATAGAAATACATATTGAACATCCATGACTGTAGTACAAATGCTCGTATTCATCACACAAACATCTGCCTCCACCGGGATTCGAACCCGACCTCTCGAGTCGGCGTCACCATGAAACCCGGCGTATAAACCACTCGGCCATGGAGGTCGTTAATAGAGTCGTTTATATGATGGGTTTTTATATATATTTCTATATGAATATTCTTATATACTTATGTATCAAATATACGTGTTCTTTCCGTTACCTTAGCAACCATTAACACAAACCTTATAGAGATCACTTTGGGGCTAGGCTAATTGGTGTGGGCAGCAGCTGAGGGTTAGGCTGCGTTTCCACCAGAGATGTGCGAGGATGCATAGCGAGGGATGTGTTTGTAAAGAACCAATAGAATCGCTTCATTTACCTCGCCTCGGTCAGCACATCTCTGGTGGAAACGGCTCAACGGAGCTAGATTTTCGCGCATACAAAACAAGCGAGGGATATGTGCGAGGGATGTTTACGAGGGATGTGTTTGCGAGGAATGTGTGTTGAGAAGGATGTGTTGCGAGGTTTGCGCATACTGTACCAGCCAGTCCATTGACGAAGTTTGTTGGAAGTAGAAGTGCACTAAAATAGATATGGATAATTGGAAAAAGAAGATACTTTTATATTTAACAATTTGCGATGAAGAAATGGAAGCAGAATATAAAGCAACGCATCCTCGCACCACACATTAATGCGCATTTTCACAGCTCCGCTACACATCCTCGTAGGCACATTTTCATCGCACAGCTTTGGTGGAAATCCCCACACATTTTCACAGCACAGCTAGACATCCTTGCACGACACATTTCCATCGCACATCTCTGGTGGAAACGCAGCCTTAGGGTGTGTAAACACCCGGTGACCCTGGGCCAGTGCGGATGATTGACAACCACCCGTCCATTGAACGGCTCCATCGTTTGGGGAGAAGGCTGATGCGCCATAGCTTCTCCCTCCAGGGAGGGGGGACCAGAAAGTCCTTCCTACGGGCAGTGTGTAAGGGTACCACTCCCAGCGGAGGGTGCACCGTAGGGTATTTAGTGGGTAGGCCTCTGGGGACTCATCGAACGAAGTTCCATTGAATGTATCCTCGGAGGAGAGTCCTACATAACCTCGCCGCTCGTCAGGCGGCGGGGTATGCGTTAAGCATTTTCCCCACGATGTAAAAAAAAGGCTAATTGGTGTGAGTGTGGGAAATATTATTATTGAAGGCTGGCAATCAAATTTGTGATGCTCCAGGTGTTGCAGGTGTCTATGGGCGACGGTGATCATTTACCATCAGGTGAGCCGTCAGCTCGTATGTATACAATATAAAAAAAGCCACACCAGTTGATTAGTTAATAAGAGTGAGTGTTAATGTAGTAAGAGGTGATTGTCTAATAGATTTCTCTTATTTGTAGGATTGGCCGTGAAGGCTTATTTGACGCAAGGGAATTGCACATTTATTGTATTCACTGTCTTTGTTCCAATAAAATATTTATCATATTTCATTTCATTTTGCATTTTGTTTATTTTTTTTTTTAATAATTTATTTAATTCAAGTAACAAAGACTCGGAGGAGCTCGCAGAGCTCGCTCGCGGATGAGAGAGGAGATGGCGCAGATCGTTAGCGCATTCGGCTGCGATTGTTGTAGTTAAGCAACTTTCTCAGTGGTTGTTCATTGGATGGGTGACCAAAAAATTCTATCTCGAATTCCTCCGTGCTTCGGAAGGCACGTTAAGCCGTTGGTCCCGGTTGCACCTGCAGTCGTTAGCATCCGCCAATCCGCACTGGGCCCACGTGGTGGGTCATAGCCCAATCTTCATATTCCATTCATAGGGAAGGCCTGTGCTCCAGCAATTTAAATAAGAACATAAACAACATCAGGTGGGGTAGAGTCATTTGCCTACCTCGTTATAAAAAAAAAAAACAAAGAACCGAAATGTTTCTGCGTGTATTCAAAAAAGCTAGACCGTAGTGATTGTACCGAGCCTGTGAATCGTATAATAATAAATTAAATTTTATTGATATGTTTAAAAATGGAATTGATGAATACAAAAAGCTTTGAAATGAAGTTACTGAATGAATGAACTGTTTTTTTTTAATGCAAAATAGGCAATGCGTTTGACCACAATCTCACCTGATGGATAGCGATGATGAGGCCTAGGATGGTACACGCCTGCCTAGAAGATGCCTGTTCACTCTGGCCTTGAAGATGTCCAGATTATATTAGTCCGGGAAAACAGACCTCGGCAAGGAGTTCCACTCCCTGGCCGTTCGTATAATGAAGGCCGAAGCAAATAGCTTCGTGCGAAAAATTTATTTATTTGTCAATTTTCTGTGTTTCTTTTTTGTTGAAGTTATACTTCTTTAGGCGCGTTATGAAAAAATGATGAGAGTGAAATTTTAAGATGCGCGCGCATCACTGTAACACAAAAATTAACAGCATGAAGTTGGTCGCTTTAGCGACCAATTTCATGCTGTTACTTTTGTGTTTACCGCACATTAAGAAAATCTACCAACAAAATAGAATAATACTCTATTTAGTGGGTGCTAACGACTGCATTGTGAAGGCCTATCAAAAGTATTTATTAATCTGGAACAACGGAACCAAAGCGCGATTCAGGAGACTACAGCGCCATCTCTTGACCATTGGTGTAGTAGAACCAAAAACCACATCTTTATTTTTTGTAATAAAGTAACAGTTATAGGTATTCATATTTATAATATCAAAAGTATTTATTAATCTGGAACAACGGAACCAAAGCGCGATTCAGGAGACTACAGCGCCATCTCTTGACCATTGGTGTAGTAGAACCAAAAACCACATCTTTATTTTTTGTAATAAATTAACAGTTATAGGTATTCATATTTATAATATTTATCCACATGTTTCTAGTTTGTATATCCGGAATACGTGTTTGAGTTTCATACAAGTGCAAATCACATATGTTCTAATAAATTATATTCAGTAGCGATTTTAATTGAATATTTTGATTATTTATTTATTTTTTCAAATTAAAACTGAACTTTATTGACTGTGTCCTTTTCCAGACTTTTTATTAATTTATTGTAATTAATTATTTGCATGCAATTAAAAACTAATATTAAACGATGCCAAAGAAGGATAACTTCTCACGCGCCTACATAAGTACACGCACCCATTTTTTGAATTATATTACAATTCAGTTAATGACGTATTTTATTTAACTTTATTTGATTTTCTTTATAAATACACAGCTGCTTATAACTGTTCTAGTTGGTAGTGGACACTTTATTGATGTAGGTATATTTTTTTTCTAAATTTTATTAATTCTAAATGTAAGACAATATTCTTTTCTTCCTAAACAAAAATAAAATAAAATAAAAATCGGTTCGAGTCTGGTAAGGTTAATAGGTATGAAAATCGTTCTGCATTAGAGCTTTATGGAATAAATAATAGCAGCAATAGCTGTGTACTCGTCAGGAAGAACACAATATGCCACATTCGTGAATAAATAAAGACAGTGGCAAGTCCAATGCACCAGTCAGTAGCACCATATCGATTGTACAACTGCCCTATAATAGAAGAGGAAGGCTGGACAAAGTTCGTAGAGGTGTGTACACACAAATGAAATGTTCAAAATCGTAAATAGCAATAATGAGTAACTTTTCTTTCTCCATCTACCAGGTAGATTATCAAAAACTATTGGACACGTATTTTTTCTTTATTCACATAATCAAAATATTACAGAGATATATTGATTTGGAATCTTGCATTACGTAACGTCTTGGTATAATTTTTACTTAGAAGTGACGTCACAAGGCCCTATTCCCAAACTTTGACTCGCTTTATCCTCGTAATTTTCGATTGAAAAAAGGAACAACACATGTTTCTATTATTTTTTAATAATCTACATATATATATTTTTAGACTCTGCCATATGTCTTCATATTATTTACACACACACACCAATTAGCCTAGCCCCAAAGTGAGCACTTTAAGGCTTGTGTTATGCGATGTTAGGGTAACGGATAGAATACATGTATAAGTATAATTTATCCAGATAAAGTACGCTTAGGTACAAATGCTACCATTTGCTTCCACCGAGATTCGAACCCGGGACCTCTGAGTGCAGTGGCGACAACTTGAAACCCGGCGCAGAAGTTGAATCACTTACTCACTAGCAATAAGATTTACAAGCGATGCACTCATTTGCAACTACGCAACTCCGTTGGCGTTGCATTGTGTTATCTGCGTTTACTCCGAACACTAAAATTCTTTCAATATATATAATTATTAAAATACACGTCTGACAGCGAAATCAATGCATAGAATGCACCAATAG